TTATCTTAGGTGTATTAGTCTTTGGTGCTAAAAAATTATATTATAGTTGCCGCTTTTTTTTATTTTATTTTAATGTTATGTCGTTGTTAGAATGAATACACTAGTATAGGTTTAGTTTGTTTTATTTGATAAATGTGTTCCATCATAATTTGCTATAAGTTTACAGTTGCCACTTTATGCCTTTTTTTTTTATTTTTTTATTTTTATTTTTATTTTTTTTGTTTGATTAATTTTACTATTAGGTTGTTGTTTGAATGAATACACTAGTATATGTTTAGTTTGTTTTATTTTGATAAATGCGTTCCATTGTAATTTTCAACTCGTTCCAGTTAATTGTTTGGTTGCATTTTGATAATATTGTCGACCACATGTTTGCTTTAGCTATACAAATTATGAAATTTTGGTATGAATGATGTTAATTTGATTTTTCTCCTAATCCTTCTACTAGTTGTCATGGTCGTTGAGTGTATTCATTAAATGTGTCTACCTATCTATAACTACTCATAAATAGAATCGATCTTACTTGAGAAATATTTTAGTATATGTTACCAATTTTGATTTCACATTATAAGGTTCAGACTTAAAAATTTAGTGTTAATTTTGAATGTCTTTCAAGTTATACTAATTGTTTCTTTCCCGTTTGATGCATGAACCCTTGTGATGAGCCCGACGGAACTCTTTCCTTCCACTTGCATCTCCAATGGGCCATTTAGGCCCGAAACTCTTCCCGAATCACCCCCTTTGGTGTCAAGTTCGAAATCACAAGTTTATATAGGGAAAACAGGGGCTGGAAATCGAAACTGTGCCTTGGAAAGCTGAAACCAGGCTGAAAAACGGCCTGTATACACTGATATACCTGCTGTATACACCAATATACAGTCAGAAATATGATATACAGGGCAAAAACGCGAAAACACAGGTGGAAAACGCAAAGATACATAGTTAAAAATGAAAATTACAGATCCGGGAGTTCGAGAATTAGTGATATACATGGCGTACACCTCAAATACATACTTTGTGTATATCATGGGCAAGGAAGATGGAAAAAGGGCCAAAGCCCAAATGAATTATTACTTCTTCCTTTTTTTTTGCAGATTCGGGAAATTTGGGCAAAACCCAAATTCAACATATTCCTCTTAGTTAGTTGTTTATCTATTTGTTGATTGACTGACATTTTATTTATTTTTATGGTTGAATTTAATTAAGTTCCGAAGATAGCCATTTCTCTCTTCTTATATATATATATATATATATATATATATATATTCGAATTAAACTATTTCATACTTAGCTTTGTTTTTTTCTTATTAGTCTCGTCGCTTGAAATTACTCCCCTTTAGGATGATCCCTCTTTAGTTTATTTCCCTTTAAAAAATAACAATTAATAATAATAATAATAAAGTAATAGGATTTCTTATATTTATGTTCCATGCTTAATTTTATTTTTAGTGGTCCCGTCAACACTTGAGGTTTTTCCCTTTAAAAATTTTCTTTTAGCTATTCCCCCTTGATAGAAAATAATAAATAAATAAGTTTTTTTTTTTACTTAGTTAAAATTTCATAATTAATTAAAATGAATGAGTTCTTTTACTTTATTAAACTTTCAAAATTAGTCAAAGTTGTGTGTTCTTTACTTAGTTAAATTTAAAAAAATATTTAGTTAAAGTAAATGAGTTCTTTTACGTCGTTAAAATTTCAAAATTAATCAAAAATCATTTTGGTCAAATCGCCGGTCAACCGCAAGTTAGCGGACATTTCGAGGGCCTAATACCTTCTCGGAATGTACATTTGAACTCGAACCCGTTTTCAATTGATTTTGTCTGTTTAAATCTTTTGAAAACCTTATAGTTTTTTCTTGATTTTTACTAAAAAAATTAAGTGGCGACTCTGTTCTTTTGAGAATTCGATTTCTCGTAAACCATAAGTTTAATCGATTTTTCAGAAACTCAGTCATTTTCCCTTTACATATATTTTTAAATAAAACAGTCTCAATTAGTCGTGTAATACAATCTTTGAATCAAATAGGGACACAACCCTTACAATATTGTCTGAAAATGAAATAACTAGAAACGAAACTCAAAGTGGAACTCCCGTCCTCGAATTATGAGGACTCATTACAAGCAAGGAGAATAGTCGAATCCAAACTTGAACCAAATGAAGATCACCTCAAAGTTTGGACCCTACACTTTGTGGAAAATATGGGTTAGTACAAAAATGCACTAAGTATGATAAGTCATGCATAAAATCATGAAAACATGCTAAATCTGACATTTTAGTTGAAAAGCATGCACTTTACCAAGTTTGAGAATCATCATGAACTTTAGTGTAAAAACATAAGTCATAAGCATATTCAACATATAGATCATCATAGCATAATAGAATTATCTCATAAGTAACCCTAACTCATACTTGTGCAATGCATGGATAAGATCTCATAATCTCATCCATACTAAGTACCACTTTTAGGCCACCATAACCATATTCACCATTCTTTGATATCATCCTTAGTTAATACTCATAGACAAGGAATCATTCACCTTTAACAAGTCATATAAAGGAAAGCAACTTATAGCAACAATCCAAGTTAAGCATCCATCATTAAAAATAGCCCTCATATCAACATACTTAGTAGCATCATCATAAGTATATTCATTTAATAAATCATTATAACATAAAAGGAACACACCATAAATACTCTCAAAGCCTACTTATGCAATGCATGAATGAAATCCCATACTCCCACTCACACTAAGTAGAGCTTCTTGAGAAGCCATAGTTCATAATCACTCATTGTGGGGGTAAGCCTTAACTGACATAAACCATATGAGCTAATTATGGAATCCGGTGTTACCCACACCGAAAAGGATGTCCTACTTGCCTAAGGTAGAACCATTAACTTAGCTTAGGTGGATCCACGAGCTAAATACCTATGAGTGCACATAGTTATAGGATAAGTAGATTGCTACTACATACCCAGCCTCGACTCACGTATGGGCATCCATATCAAGAGATTTCTTCTAGAAACTCTCCCTCAACTCACGTATGAGTTTCCATCTCAATCAATATCTACTCGGTGCTTAGCATTATTCCCCACGGAGTACTTATCATTTCATTACTTGAGTTCATTATTATGGAAGAATGTATCAATACTCAATCCAACATCATTCATAAGATAGCTCCTATATTCAATGGATGAGAATAGCCTTTCAACCTAAGAACCATCATATTATGAGAAAACCTTTCACAACATGTCGTCATCATTCATAAGTGTATAACTGAGAATAGCCTTTCAATCAACATCATTATCATAATCATGGAAACTTCATTCATAAGTGTGTGTGTGTTTGTGAGATAGTAGCCTTTCAACAACACCATAATTACATGATAGTCATAATCACTTTACTCTCAATGTGTTCTTAAAGCATATACATAAATCTCATAATCATGCATAATTCTCATACTTTGCCCTTCAAGGACCATAGATCATAATTCATCAACACAGCTAGAATTACTACATTAGACATGGATGATAACATAATTCAAGTAATCAATTCATTACATTTATAATTCTATAACATTCTACTTGCATCAATCAATACCCACACTTTGAGATCCAATTTGGGAAAATAGGGGAATTCATGGATTCTTGAGTAATTCAACTTAAAATCATATAAAATCATCAAAATATCCGTAAACAAACATAATTCAATCATTAAAAATGAATTTGAAAGGAATTCATGAGATTGAAGTCAAAACCTAGCTTTTCAGATTTCTTACTTTGAAATTGGGGATTTTGAAGGGGCTACATAGGTGAAGGCTACCCATGGATGAAGAGCTACCATACCTTATTGAAGAATTCCCAAGTATTTGAGGAGAAAATCTTGATTCTTCAACCCTAGCTTTACCTTCTTCTTCTTCTTCTTCCTTGGAACTTTCTAGAAAGAGAATATTTGGGGAAAGTTGGTTATTGATTTGGGTTTTGGGATTTTATGAGGTGAATGAGTTGGTTAATGACTTAAAAAGACTTATATAGGTGTATTAAAACTATACAAAATGACCTTACTTAATATTAATTAACATAGGAATTACCTAAACTACCCCTAACTTAACCGAAAAAGACAGCTTACAGGCCCCATCCACGGCCACCACCCACGGGGCATAGACTGACCCATGGCCCGTACTGGTGGGGCGTGGGTTGGGGTCTGCAGCTACTGATCTTGGCCCTTGACCCACGAGACCATACCACGGGGTGTGGACCCACCCACGGGGCTTAGGTCCTGCCATAGGGCAAGGTCTTGGGCTCAATTTTAGGTACAAGGTTAGGGTCCTCCTCAAGGCCCCTTGGTTGGTCCTTAGGGGGTCATACCTTGACGTTTAACCCCTAAACCCTTCATTCTAAGTACGAGAAGCAAATTTTATGACTCTAACCTTTACGACAAGATCTAGTTAAGCCTACTAGTTTTCGAGGTGTTACAGTATACGCGGTGGTTCTCAATTCATTACGGAGATCCTCATAAAGTTTTTCTCAAAAAAAAAATTGGGTGCTCCGAAGCGCCAAATCCATGGGCTAATACACAAGAAAAATTGGGAAATTCGGGTAATTCCTAAAAAAAGAGCTTGTAAATGCAGAAAAATATGTTTAAAATGGTATGAGTATATACGGTAGTCCCATCAACATGGGCCGTTCTTGTGGGATGTTCTTCATCCATGGATACAAAATCAGGGTTAAGAGATGAGTGTTTCTAGAGATCTCATATATCACTCTCCTCTAAGTCATAGTGCCTCCATAATTCACCTTATTTCTTCTTTTCCATAACTGCCAGCATATCATACCAGGAATAGGTAAATGATCTGACCCCGTTCTAGGTAAATGATCCACCTCCACAGTCGAGAACCATTCCAAAAGATGTGAGTTTGCCAATATTCGATCCAACCTTTTAAAAATGCAATCAGGCTACCTTTAAAAGGGATTTCTTCATATGCACAAGAATTAACAAAAAATGCAAAATCTTCCATCTCCTGCTGAGTTACAGGTAAACCCCCTATTTTCTCATCTTCATGAAGAACAACATTAAAATGTCTTTCCATTGAAATTTGTGCCAGCTGTATGCATGTTCAGTTTTCTTTTATATCTCCGCAGGTGTCTCATATGTTGAAATGGCTCCATAAGAGCTATAATAAAATACTTATGATGTCTATTTAACATTTGCAATCTATTAAAAGCTTGTTGTGTGTTAATAGATATATGATATTCCAAACGAAGAAAATACTTTGTTTTTTGGTCCCTCTTTTTGGCACAACTCTTGTAGGTTGCTGATTTTCTAAGCTTGTCTGCCTTTTGCCCTTTTTTTAACAGATTTATATATATTTGAATGTTGTTGCCTTTTGCATATAACAGGATATACAACCTGTTATACAAGCATTGTTAGGCTAATATTTATTAGTTGATATAACATATTTTGATTTCAAGCTCATCTCATTGTCTCATTTTATTTAGAAGTTGAACGAAATTTATGTTTGGTTCAGTTATGAAAGTATTCTACATTTCTTATCATAATTTCACTGATATATCAATTTATCTACTTGAATATAGAAGAAAATAAATACAAATACATTTCCTTTGTTTACTTTGCATGTGAACTCTCTTTGTCTCTCATATGAGTCCCCTCTGCATTTCGTTGGGTTGAAATCCAACATTCTTTGTTCGAGTTAACCTTGTCAAGAATTTGAAGTTAATATACAGGTGGAAGGAGCTGATATACGACCTATATACACTGTTATACAGTGTTATATACAATTGAAAAGAGGACCAAACCAGCAAATGTTTTTCAAAAGAAGCTGAAAAAGGAAATAAAATTAGCTAAATAATTCTGCGCAGCAACAGTTTAGGCCCAAAAGGCCCAAACTCTCTCTCTCTCTCTATTGGATTGTATTTTAGTTATTTTTGATTTGATGAATTCTAACTTTGAATAGTTAGATTAACTTAATTAAATGAAAAACTACAGGTGAAGTTTTACAATGAAATAAACTAATATTTCAAAGAGGGTTACACGAAGTATAAAGAGAAGAAAGGTTCACAAATTTCCTTCAATTAGCAATGGAAAAAAGAGGAAACACTAAAAGAGATATAATACTCTTGTCTATTTTTTGAATACTTGTAATTATTTTCAATAGGCATTTTGTATTATAATATAAATACTAGGTAAACAATTGAATAGGTCCGGCGCCTCAAAGTCCCGAGGGGTGGGGGAGGGGCTGAGGGCCTCCGGGCGCCTCGAGGTCCTTCGGGGGAAGGGGGAAAGTGCCTCGAGGGACGACGCCTCGAGGACCCAGGGTTGAGGGTATAGGGGGACGGTGCCTCGAGGGCCCGGGAGGGAGGGGGAGACGGTGGGGGCCTCGGGACAAGGCGCCTCGAGGTTCGGGGGTGTGGGAGGGAAGGTCCTCAGGGCACTGTGCCTCGAGGTCCCGGAGTCGGAGGGTTGGGGACTCGGGGTACGGCACCTCGAGGTCCCAGGGGTTGGGGTATTAGGGCACAGCACATCGAGGTACCCGGGGCGGGGGGATTGGTGCCTTTGGGAACGGCCCCTCAAGGTCCCGGGGCCTTGAGTCCCCAGGGTCCTCGGGGAAGTCCTCGGGGACTCGAGGTCCTAGGGGTATCAAGGGCCTTGAAGGCCTCAGGGGCTAGAGGGCTCGATGGGGCTCTAGGGCTTCGGGGACCAGGGGAATCGAGGGGACCAGGGGCCTCGAGGGCCCAGGGTACCAGGGGCCTCTAGGTCCCCGGCGACCAGGGGCCTCGAGGAACGGTGCCTCGAGGTCCCGGGGGGCAGGGGGTAGAAATCTCGGGGCCCCGGGGTTAGGGGCCTCGTGAGTAGGGGTAGGGGCCTCGGGGACCCAAGGGTAGGGGTTTGCTGGTCCTCGAGGTCTCGGGAACGGGGTAGGAGGCACGCCCCCCTGAGGGGGTAGGGGGTTCGAGGAACGACGCTTCGAGGTCCCGGAGAGATGGGTAGGGGCCTCGATGTCCCGAGGTGGTGTAGGGCGGTGTAGGGGCACGACGCCTCTAGGTACCGAGGGGGGTTGGGCGAAGCCTCGAGGTCCCGGGGTATTAGGGCGGCGTAGGGGAACGTAGCCTCGAGGTCCCGGGGGGTTAAGGAGGCGTAGGGGAACGATCCCTTGAGGTCTCGAAGGGAGTATGGAGGTGTAGGGGTACGGCGCCTCGAGGGCCCGAGGGGGGGTGGGGCGACGTTGGGGCACGAAGCCTCGAGGTCCAGATGGGGGGGAGTAGGGCGGAGCCTCGAGGTCCTAGTAGTTTAGGGCGGCGTAGGGGCACAAAGCCTCGAGGTCCCGAGGGGTAAGGCTGCGTAGGGGCACGGAGCCTCGAGGTCCCAGGGGGTTAGGGCGGCGTAGGGGCACGAAGCCTCAAGGTCACGGGGGCTATAATTACATGTTACTGCCAAAACATAATACGAAACTTCGGATGTTAATCAAATTACTAACATTCACAAACTTGCAAAAGCTACCGCTCAATTACAAACTAAAACTAATACTAAAATAAAATAGTTCAACGGAGGATTAGGGCGGCGTAAGGGCACAGAGCCTCGAGGTCCCGGGGGCTATAATTACATGTTACCGCCAAAACATAAGACAAAACTTCAGATGTTAATCAAATTACTAACATTCACAAACTTGCAAAAGCTACCGCTCAATTACGAACTAAAACTAATACTAAAATAAAATAGTTCAACGAGACAATCTTGAACAGTTGCTTGATCCACCAATATCAGCAAAATTCTCACCAAGTTTCTAACCAAGACTGAATCACAAAATCTGAAAAAGAAAAAAAAGACAACCACCAGTTTAATAGACTATTACCGTAGCATTTATACATTTAATGACAAAATGCTTTTGAAATCTAGATTGAATTCACTTTAATGATGAAATAGGCTCCATAAATGCATAACATCCATCTTCAAATGAACACGGTAAGATGCAGGCACAATCACTAAATTAACAATTCCATTTTTATTAGCAACTAATCCATTTATAGTATCATCATGTCTCTTAATTGACTCAAGACACTTCTAATTAGTAAATATGTATCAAGTGTTGAGCAAGTCTGCTTAACAATATGCAATATTTGGCCTCATATCCTTAATTATTTTCTTGACAGAAGGCTTATGCATTGAAAACCAAGTAAATAACTTAGAGCAACTTGTAGCTAGAATGGTTTACCAAATGTCCATATCCAAGAGCAAAAAAGAAAGAGTTTCAACTCCATATTAATCATCCATAATGCTATTCGCCAAATCTATAGAGAATTTATGTTAATCAACCAAAAAAATGTTAATGACTATTTACAATAACAATTAAAACTATTATAAGTATAATATCCTTACCTTGTTCTAGCTGTTCGAGGACATCTATATCTTCCTCAACACTTATATGTCGTGATTCACTTCTAATCCAATCTTGAAGGCACACTAGAGTTTGCACCAATTTAGGAGTTAATTAACTCCTAAATGAATCCAGATATGTCCACCAGTACTAAATGCACACTCGGATGCCACACTTGAAATAGGAATAGCTAACACATCCCAAGCCATCTCAGCAAGAACGAGAAATCTAGGTGAGTTTATTTTCCACCAAGACAAGATGTTGAAGTTCTTGCTTTCAACTTCATTTCCTTCAGTAAGATACTTTTGCAATTCTGAAGATAGAAGGGTGTTGACTACCTTTATCATTTTAGAAAGGGACTTTACATATTCACCAAACAACAAATCCATGTAGTCTCTAACTCCTTTCTCTAAAATTGGACCTTCTTTCCCAAACATCATTTGAAGTGCAAAGCCAACTGAAACGAACTTGTGACAAGGATCCAAAACGCAAGAAATAAAAATCATCTTCTTTGGAGTAGCCCAATACTTATCAATTTTTTCTCTCATATTCGAAGCAATTTTACCCAAAAGATCATCATTATCATCTTCACTCAATATCAATTGTTTCAAATAACAAGAAACCTCACAAATTTTAAGAAAATGTGAGTTTGTTGTGACGTAGTGTGATCCAGATACTTCTTCGATAAGATCATAAAAAATTTGAAGAAAATTAGCAATTTTTCTTACATTGTCCCAGTCATCACTCAAAAGGGCACCAACAATGCTTCCATTTTCATCATTTCCATATTCATCCTCAACAAACTTAAGGTAATGTAACAAGCCAATATCACGAGCAACATAACTAGAAAACGCATTTTCAAACTGAATAGCCCTATTTAACATCAAGTATGTGCAGTTCCATCTCCTAGAAACATCCAAACATAAAGATGTTTTTACAATTAATATCAACCATCTTCACGACATTCTTGGAACCTCTTACACCTCGCAGGAGACAGTCTTATGTATTTAACTCCTTTTCAAACCCGTTCAATAGACACAACAGATACCTTCAAACCATCTTGAACAACAAGATTTAGAATATGTGTCATACACCTCACATGGAGGAGTTCTCCATTCATGAAATTGATCCCCCGTTTAGTGAATATATTAGACAACTCTTTCACAGTCACGTCATTCGAACTAGAATTATCGACTGTGATGGTAAATATTTTATCAAATCCCTAATAACGCAAACACTTAATAATCTCATTAGTCATATCTTCACCTTTATGGCTAGAAATTGGACATAAGTTGATTATCCTCTTATGCATAATTCATTCATTATCGATCCAATGTACAGTGATACACATATAATTAATCTGTTGCAAAGAGGTCCAAGTATCAATTGTCAGACATACTCTTTGTCGTGCTTCTTTGAAAAATCTCTTCAATTTTTGCTTCTCTTCATCAAAAAGTTTAAAACAATAATGTGTCACAGGGCTACTAACATACGATAAATCAGGAATGGGCGAGGGCTTCGAGCCTCTGGGTGCTCTGAGGCGCCTGATCCATGGGCTACTAACACACGATAAATCAGGGAATTAGGGTAATTCCTAATAAGGTCTTTGTAAATGCGGAAATAATGGTTAAAAAATGGTGTGACTATACGTGGTAGTTCCCTCATTACGGAGGTCCTGATAAACATTTTTCAAAGAAAAATTGGGTGCTCCGAGGTACCAGATACATGGGTAACACACGAAATATCAGGGAATTTGGATAATTTCTAAAAACAGGCTTGTAAATGCAGAAATATGCGCTAAAATATTGGTGTGAGTATACACAGTGGCTCCCCAACTCATTACGAAGGTCCTCAAAAAAATAATTCAAAAAAAATCATGGGTGCTCCGAGGTGACAGATCGTGGGCTAATACACGAAAAATCGGAAAATATGGTAGTTCCTAAAAAAAGGCTTGAAATGCGGAAATAGGCGTTAAAAAAATGGTGTGAGTATACGTGGTGGTTTCTCAACTCATTATGGTGGTCCGCATAAAGTTTTTTTCAAAAAGATATTTTGGTTGCTCAGAGGCGCCTAATCCATGGGCTTATACACACAAAAAATTGGAAAATTTGGGTAATTTCATAAAACAACTTGTAAATGCGGAAATAGGCATTAAAAATGGTCTAAGTATACGCGGCGGTTCCCCAACTCATTACAGAGGTCCTCATAAAGTTTTTTTTAAAAAAATTGGTTGCTCCTAGGGGCTAGATCCATGAGATAATATTAACACACAAAAAATTGGGAAATTTGGGTAATTCCTAAAATGAGCTTGTAAATGCGAAAATAGACGTTAAAAAATTGTGTAAGTATACACGGTGGTTCCCCAACTCATTATAGAAGTCCTCTTAAAGTTTTTTTCAAAAAAAAAGCTTGTTGCTCCGAGGGACCAAATTCATGGGCTAATACAAACGAAAAATTGAAGAATTTGAGTAATTCTTAAAAAAGGCTTGTAAAATGTGGAAATAGGCGTTAAAATGATGTGAATATATTACGTAGTTCCTCTTAAGTTTGTTTAAAAAAACTTGGGTGCTCCGAGGCGTCAGATCCATAGGCTAATACAAACGAAAAATTGGGGAATTTAGGTAAATCCTAAAAAAGAGCTTGTAAATGCGGAAATAGGCGTTAAAATGGTGTGAGTATATAGGGTGGTTCCCCAACTCATTATAATGATCCTCATTAATTATTTTCAAAAATTATTTGTGGGTGCTCCGAGGCGCTAGATCCATTGTCTAATACACACACAAAATTGGGGAATTTGAGTAATTTCTAAAAGGGGCTTCTAAATGCGGGAATAGACGTTATAAAATGGTCTAAGAATACGCGGCGATTCCCCAACTCATTACGAAGGTCCTCATAAAGTTTTTTTCTAAAGAAAGGTTTGTTGCTCCAAGGGGCCATATTCATGGGCTAATACAAACGAAAAATCAAGAAACTTGGGTAATTCTTAAAAAAGGCTTATAAAATGCAGAAATAGGCGTTAAAAAGTGTGTGAGTATATTACAAAGTTCCTCTTAAAGGTTTTTTTTTAAAACTTAGGTGCTCTGGAGCGTCAGATCCATAGGCTAATACACAAGAAAAATTGAGGAATTTGGGTAATTCCTAAAAAGGGCTTGTAAATATGGAAATAGGCGTTAAATATGGTGTGAGTATACGCAGTGGTTCCCTAAATCATTACTGAGTTCTCATAAAGTTTTTTCAAAATTTTTTTTTTTGATGCTACGAGGCGCCAGATCCATGGGCTAATACACACGAAAAATAAGGTAATTTGGGTAATTTCCAAAAAATGGCATGTAAATGCGGAAATAGACGTTAAAAAATTGGTGTGAATATACGCAAAAGTTTC